GACTTCAGAGACTGGGTGGCCTGGACATGCGGGTRTTTTTAGGGCAGGTTTTACCAGGGCTGTTTAGAGCTAAGACCCCCCAGGGCCTGGCTCTAGAGCCCCCAGGACACAATTGGGCACCCTTCCCCAGGTCCCAAACTGCCTTCCGGGAACAGCATGGGCCTGGGGGGTACAAATGCTCACCCTGGTGCCAGGAGAACATCCACCTGTTATATCCCTCAAGGGGCACGTGCTCTCTCAGCCCTCTGCACGCTCACACTTCTCTCCCAGGGGTCCTTCTCTGGTTTCACCTGCTACCAGCATTTCCCCAAGGAGAGAAAGCTGTCAAGTCAACTGCCTGTGGACAACTAGGGGAGAAGCCAGTCAGCCCTGGGTCAAGTGCAACCACGAGTCCCAGCAGGCCTAAGAAAGTGAGAAGCTCACTGAGGTGACTCTGGCCTGAGAGGGCGCCTGAGAGGGCTCCTGGGAAGGCCCAGGGAAAGCCTTCGGCAAACAGCCCCAGGGGCGCAGGCCTAGGCCTAGAAGCTAGGGAAGCCTGTGGCCTGTGGCAGAGCCACAGGGGTGGCAGGCACAGCCAGGAGGAAAGACGCGGGAGGCCAAATAGGACCTGCCTTCCCCAGAGCCTGAGGCTACTCATTCACTGAGACTAACCAGGCCTGTTGGACTCATTTCTTTCCCAGTCCCTGCCAGGCTGCTTTCTGTCATCTCCAGGTCATCTTGAGGTTGAGTGGCCCTGGAGACTCTTCCAGACTGGGTAGGCAACCCACTGCAGGAGCCTTCAGAAAAATCTGGCAAAGCAGAGGCAGGAGGATCATAAGTTTGAGGCCATCCTCAACAACTTAGAAAGACCCTGTCTCAAAATAAATAAAATAGAGGCAGTGGCTCAGCAGCAATTCAGTGAGGCCCTAAGTAACTTAATGACACCCTATCTTAAAATAAAAAAATAAATTAAAAAAGTGTGTGTGTGGGGGGGCTGGGAATTTGGCTCACTGGTAAAGCACCACTGGGTTCAATCCCCTGTTAAAGAAACAGACAAGAACAAAAACCTACCACAGCACATGCAAAATCCTAGAGGTGAGAAGCCGAAGGAAGACGAGAGTGACAGAGCTACAGTCTGGTGGCCAGGCTATAGGAAGAGGCAGAAAGGTGAGCGGGCACAGGGCTGGGCAGGGGGCCCAAATACAGAGGCACCCAAACCGACTTCATTCTTGGGGTACTTGGGAGCTCCAGGAGGACTCTGAATGATAGAGTTACCTAGTCAGATGAGGTTCAGAAAAAAGCAGCAGCATCCCAAAAGGGAGATGAAGTTGGGCCTGATGTCTAGGTTGCACCCTGAAGGCCAGAGCTGGGCTCCAGCACCAGCCAGGAGCTGTGGCTGGGCTATACCTACTCACATGGCTGCTGCYCAGCAGGCCATGGGACTCCTGCAGCCTGGCCTGCCCACCTAATGGGCCCTCCACTATGGGAGACCTGGCTACAGCCACTCTGTATTAAACATGGGATGGGTAGCAAGAGTTGGGGGAGCCAAGAGAGCTGAAAGACACCTGAACAAGGTAGAAGTATATGAGCATGAAATCGATCCACCTGTYCACCAGTCTAACCACAAAGAAGCACTGATTCTTCCCAGAGCTGAGGGTTGAGGGGAAGGAGTCTTAAGCTGTCATCCCGAGATTAGAAACCGAAGCTAGGTCACCAGAGGTCACCAGCTAGTACTCATGGAAGCACAGGTTCCATAGTTACGTGCTGTGTTCACATCTCAGAAATTTCACTTAAAAATTATATCCATTGGACCAGTTATTTAACCCCTTTTGTGCCTTTATAAACTGAATAATTCAGGTACTTTGTAGGGCTGCCCCTTTCACAGAACAGAGGAGCTCAAAGGGATATGGGTGAGATGCCTGACCATGCCTAGCCCACAGCAAGAGCTTGATAAGTGTGAATGGGTTGAGTGGCCCTGGAGACTCTTCCAGACTTGTTGTGGAGTCAAGGCCTGGCTAGGGACCAGAATCCCCACTTCTACCCCCAGACACCAGGAGCAACAGGATGCTGAGACTGAGGGGTCAGYTGGCCTACGTGACCCACACCCACAGCCAGGAATCCCATCTAACTTCCCCTGGGTTTCCTTGAGCCTGGCCCTGCAGTTTCCGGCCTCTTTCTTCACTTTGAAGGTCCTCTGAGTTGGAAACTAAATCCCCATGAGCTCTTCCCTTCCCCATCCCACCAGCTCTACCTGTCTCCAAAGGGCCAAGCCCACTCCCTGTGGATCAGGATCAGACTTGGAAGGCCTCAGTGTGAGTTCAAGCTCCAACCCTGAGGAGCTGGATGACTGGGGGATGTGGGGGGATCATATCACCTCTCTGCACTTCAGTGTCCTCTCTAATATGGGCTCTGTGCCACCTATTTTAAAACATGTAAGCCCTGAGAGAAGGTATTAGCCACCATCTTTCAAGCTATCTCCTCCAAGAAGCCTTTCTTGGCCTCCTTAACACAAAACTTCCCTCCCGCCAGCCTCCATCAGCCTCTTGGAATTCAGGGGCTGCACTTTGGCTCCTTTGGGAGCTTGAGGTCATTTTGCCTCACTTGAACATTATTTACAAATTCTAACCCCYATTTTGCAGCCCAGAGAGGCATAGAGGCAGGGCGGCTGGGGCCCCCTTGCAGGTCAGTGCCAAGGGAGGTGGCCAGGTGTAAGGAGGAGCTGCTTCAGGAGGCGCCAACAGGGAGAACAGTTTGATTCAGCCTGGGCAGGTGCCTCAGATGGGGCAGAAAGGGTTTCTAAAGATCTCAGAGGTAGGAACACTTTTCCATTTCCTTCTCTTGCCAGCCCTRTGAGAAGACTTCCTTGTATAAACCTCAGCATGGAGGAACAGCTACACTGTTTGGCAGATGAGGAAACAAACTCAGGAAAGTCAAGCAGTGTGAAACTGATCCTTAGTGCTATGAACCACTCCCTCTACCCCTGACTGTGACTCTACCCCAACCATCYCAGAACCAAAGGAGGAGCCCAGACTGGTCACCAGAGCACTCCTGATCCCACCTGGGGTCACCCAGCCATAATCTACTTCTCCTTTCCATCTTTCCCAAAGCCTCACACAGAGCTGAAAAGCGACAGGCCCAACATTTAAAGTACAGCTTTCTAGCTCCTAAATTCTTCCATACCACACTTCTCTCTGCAGCAGACAGATACCCTGAGCTAGGAAGTTGACAGAGACTCTGAWCAAGTTCTGTCATTCTGAACTGTGTGGCCTTGGGCAAACCATTCAACCTCTCTGAGTCAGTATTCTTATCTATGAAGCAAAACAAGAGAAACTTCTGCTCTTCACACCCATCTTCACAAGACTGTCATTCTAAGGAGCCAAGAAGGTACAGTAAAACCAGTGCAGACGTGCAGTTTCTATTTCCCTGACTCTCCACAGCACTCCCCCTCTAGGGGCACCTGAAGAACAACTCCAGGCAAGAGATTCACTCTAATATTTTACCTGTCCAGGGCCATTTTCACAACTTCAGTAGCACCAGGGACTGTCAAGTCACCATTAGGCTAAGTAGTTTAGAGGCAGATGTTTCAATTCAGGATCCTACTTAGCAATTCAGTAGCTGTGGAACAAGTAACTTAACCCCTATAAGCACTTAACCTCCATGCTCAGCATAGAGACCAACAGAGACCAGCACGTGTGAGTCTTGTTATTTCCAATGACATTTCTGGAATTAGTTCTCAAAACAGTCCCATGATGTTGCCAGGGCAGGAATTATTAGCCCAAGTGGTCAGGTGGGGAAACTGAGGCAAACAGAAATGATGTGCACAAGTYACAAAGCCCACTCTGGGTTAGGTCTGAGAGTGAACATCAAGGTTGACAAGCCAACAGTCAAAAATCTCAAAGACCCAACAGATAGTTACCTGTCCAAGTGTCCCCCTCTCTTTCCCGAGCACTGTGCAGAGCTGAGGGTCTGCCCACCTGCTGCCTCTTCCCTCAGACCCTGTGTTCCCRAGTTGGCATGTTCTCCAGAGTACCCAACGCCTGGCTCACAGAGGCCTCAGTAATGATAAATGAATGACTGCCTGGGTCTATCTAGAAAAGTCCGGTTTTTCTGTTCCTGGAACTATATTCCTTCTACCAAGGCAACTGCCTGCTAACTAGCTTCCCGTCCCACTGATAAMCGAAACCCTGCGCCCCCAGACAAGGAACTTCAAAATCAGTCGCACAGAGTGTGCTAACACCACRCTCAGTAAAGACAGTCGGGGCCTCGGGCCCCTTCCAGGAAACAAACCCTTTCTTCTAGTAGCCTACTTCCTGATGCCCATGACTCACACCCAGACCCGGCTGGCAGGACAGCGCGGTCTGGCAGGAGAGCTCGGTCGGGTACTAAGGGTGGCTCTCAAAGGTYTTCACGGTGACTCGACAGAAAAGCAGCGGGCGCTGACTTCCAGCCGGCACCACTACCCAGAGGATGCGCGCGAGTGTGCGGCCGGGGCGGGGCCAGGGCAGGGTTCCTGAGCCCAGGGCACAGGAATATTACACACCCGCCGGCTCCAGGATTGGTGACTCGGGCCACGGAGGCCTATGGGGTGGTCCTTGCCCAACCAATCAGGGGCCCCGGGGAGCCCATTCATTCACAAAAAATGAGCAGGAAAAGGAAAGCCGTGCGGCCAGGGCCACTTATAACTCTGAAACACTCGCGTGTAGGGTGGAGCTCAGGTGGGAGACCCAGAAGGCCGAATCGCTGGAACGTAGAAGCACGCAGGGGCTGCCGCGTCCCCGCCCACAGTTCCGGCCCAGGMGTGGCGGGCTTGGGGCAAACCGACCAGGGCTCCGCCCCAGGCCGGGCCAAGACACGCCAACCGCCCAGCTCCCGCCGGGTCGCTTAGTGCCACCCCGCCCGGAGGGAGGCTGCGTGGCTGAAGCAGGTGGCCCCGCGGCGCCTGAAGCCACGTGCACACTGAGCATGGCGCCCCCCACCGCTTCCTCCCTGTCTGGGTCTGAGCGCCCCGGCTGGTCACTCACGGCAGTCGTCTTCGTCGCTGTTGTCCGAGCAGTCGTCGTCCTCGTCGCATCTCCATACCGAGGGGATGCAGCGCTCGTTCCGACACCGGAACTGGTCCTCTTGGCACTCCTTAATCGGTCCTAGGGGGTAGGAGGAACCGAGACTTGGGTTAGCGACTTGAGCCAAGGAAAGGGGAGAAGGAAAGGGGGTGATGCTGGAGACCCCGGAGGCTTAGGGCACCCTGGATCCAGATGGAGGGCTGGGTGCTGTGAGTTCCCCGGATGGCGGGCCGCTTGGTGGTACGGTGAGACCAGGCACATACTTAACAGTCGGCGTCACACGACTGGGGTACACCCTCCATTCAGACACATTCAGCCGCACACATGGCCCATAGTCAAGATTCACGCAGACACAGCCCACAAGGAGACAGCTCACGCTCGACACAAGCACTGGGCTAATCGGCTCATTCCCCTTGCAAACAGACCTACACTCTAACGCGCGGGGGTTTCTGTAAAGCATTGTCAGGCGGGGAAGCAGCTCGGTTCCGCTCACCGCCGCGGTTGAGCGCGCATGTTAAATAAACCCCAAGTGCGAGAATGGCACAGCTCACCCGAAACCATGAATGACCAGCCCCAGTAAAGTTCATGGCCGGTCAGGGCCCCGCTGCGCCCATCCCCTAAGAGCCGGTGCCCGGAAAGCAGAGCTTTCAACCCAGAGCCGGTGCCCAGAAAGCAGGCGGGTTCGAGTGCAAATTCAGGGATAACTGGGTCCCCTCAGGCCGTAGGGCCGCGCTTTGTTGGCTGCTGGGGCGGCGCAGAGCACCGACTGGGACCCGTCGCACGCACCTTGGCCGCCGCGCAGCTGATCCGCCGCGGCCGCAAGATGCTGAAGCTGCAGCAGCAGCAGCAGCAGCAGCAGCGCCAGCGGCCGGAGCGCGGCCCGCTCCAAGCGGTTCATGGTGGGCCCGGGGCTCCGGCCGCTGCGCCCCGCGCCCCCCACGCCGCTGCCGCCGCCGCTGCCGCCGCCGCGCTTCAGACCGCCGAGTCCTTGCCGCGGCGCCGGGGCTGCCGCTGCCCCCGCCGCCGCCGCCGCCGCCGCTGCCGCCCGCCCCGGCTCCTCGGCTGCATTTCAAGCAGGTTCGGTGACGCTCGGCAGCGGGGCGGGCTCAGGCTGGGCGCGCGGCCCCGGCCCTGGGCGGCCGCCGCCGGCGCGCGCGCTCCCTCCCGCAGCCGCCTCCGCCCCACGCTCCTCCCGCCGCCGCCTCCTCTCTCTTCTCCCTCCTTGTCCTTGGTCCACTCCTGCCTTAACAGACTCCCCACGACCTCGCTGTGGGCCCATCCGAGTGCTGGGGTCTGCAGACGCAGGGATGAGCCAGGCGAGGCCCCTGCTCCTGAAAGTAGCAGGTCCCAGGGAAGCAACATGGGCTTCCAGGAGGAGGTGGTGGATCTGAGGCAGAAGGATGCCCAGCAGAGCCAGGGTGGGAGAGAAAATGATGTTCCAGAGCGCGCAAGCCTGTGCAGTGTGCGTGTGGGGGTGGGATTGGGGGACTAGGAGCTGGGGCATCAAGGTATTGCCCATGAGGGAGAAGCTCGGATTATGAGCCATGACCTCTACACCTGTCATCAGCTCCAGATGCATAGCTGTTTCCTGTGTCTATGTCCGTCTGCGTTTGTTTCATGCTTATGCGATCACAGGCAGGGATGTGGGGCAGGCGGCGGCCTGGCTCACCGACTGTTCATTCATCCACATTCAGTATTCTTCACCCGCCCAAGCAAAGAGGCAGACAATTGGGGGGCCCTCAGGTAATCTTGGTTTGATAAAGAAAGAAGACCACTGTGGGTTCACCGTCATCTCTGCCGCTAGGGGCCGCACATACAGGACCTCTGTCCACCTCACTGGCCTCTGTAGCAAAGGAGAGGATGCCTTCTCTTGAGGCATCGTAGCTCCACCTCAGTGACTCCAGGGTATGGGATTGGAGAACAGAACCCGGACTAGGTTTCAGCCGCCTGCTGATAAGCCAGTCCCATCCACACAACCTTCTTTAAAAAATAACATTTGAGGGCATTGACCACTAAATGGGATCAGCTTGCAGGTGCCAAGGCCCAGTGTAAGGTCCACTCCCTCTTCCTTCTTGCCCTTCTTCTTTCCCAGCAGAAGCGTGGTGGCTATAAGCCATAGACCTGAAATCACCCTATCTTAGCAGCTTCCTGAGCCCAAAGGGTTGCCCAGTGGCAATGGCTGTGGCCACCCCACTAGGAAAGGTCTTAGGCCTTAGGAAACCTGAGGGTGCTCCTACCATTGTCCCTTCTRTCCCTCGATCATTTAAGCATATTCTGGCCATGTGCTAGGCCTGGGGATGCCAAGATGAATCCGAAATGGTGCCAGCCCCAGGGAGGTCCCTGGCTGATGGGGAGSAGACCATGAACAGGCAATGAAATGTGAACTTAAGCACTCCCAACAAAAACTTGTAGAACACCTACTAGGTATCAGATTCTGTTCAAGGCTCAAAGATGCAGTGTAAAAATATATAAGGCCCCTCTCAATTTTTCTCTAGGGTGAGAAAAACACAAAAGCAAGGAAGCAAAAAAAGATTATTTTAGATTACTCTAATTGCTATGGGGAAAAAAAGCCAGGGTGATATAAGATAGAGGGTAACTTTTAGAGGAGGTGACATTTCAATGAATGGTAAAGAAACTGACGACATGAAGATCAGAGAGAAAGGTATTCCTGGCAGAAGGAATAGCAATGTAGAAGCCTCTAGATGGGCTGGGGCCTGATGAAAGGGGGGGTGTGTGTGCATCAGAGAAGCTTCAGGGAGWCCACAAAGCCCTTATGGCAGGAGGGCTTTGCAGGCCAGAGCAAGGAGTTTGGATTTTGTGCTAAGCAAAAATGCCTAGGTTGTGAAGCCCAGGACAGAAGCCCCTCTGCTACCCAGACTAATCTATCTAGCTCTGCCTCTCCTCCTCTACTCTGTGTTCTTAGAAAAGTCATTCCCATCAGTTTCTCGTCGGTGAGATGGGGAGTCTCTGAGATTCATTCCAGCTTTAAGATTTTTGTATGGGGTGAAGTTCAGAGGCAATAGGTAGAAAGATTAAGAACATTAGCCATTGTCTGGGAGTGTGGCTTAGTRTTAGAGCATTTGCCTAGTATGTACAAGATCCTGAGATTAATTCCAGCGCCAGAGAGAGAGAGAGGAAAAAAAAAAGAGCATGGGGGGTAAGGAAGGGGAAAAAATAAAGAAAAAAACACAGCTATTGGGTATATTGGGTCAAACTGTGGCTGGATCCCTCCTTATCTAGTGAACTTGGGCAATTCAACCTCTGTAGCTAATTTTCTGCATCTGAAAAATGGGAGCAGTGACAGTACTTAACCACTTAGGGCTGCCATGAGGGTTATATTAAATGAGATTGTGTGTGCACAACATACAGGATACAGGAGGTACATAATAAATGTTAGTTATATTACTATTATTCAAACATAATTCCCTGTTCAGAAACCCTTGATGGCTTCCCAACATATAAAGAATGCAAATTAAGCCCAGGCATTGCCCCACCTCCCCAAGGGGATCTTTGCTAATACTGTCTACCCATATGTCAAGTTGCCAGAATGGGCTACTCTTTGTCTCTCCACATCTGCCTCAACAGAAGTTCTCTCAGCTTCTCTAGGCCCCCTATTCAGTTTGGTCCACTTTCCTGAGTTCCTACAACCCCTGGACTGTCTGTTTGTCAAAGCCCGGATCACCCTGTACTGCCACCATCTGTTTATGCACTTGTCACCTTATCAGCCTGAGGATGGGGACCAGCTAGCTCTTCTGCATCTCTGGGTCCCTGGCGAGGGTTTCTGTCCCCTTGGATGACAATGTTTTCAGAGAATAAACACAAGACCTGGTACAAGAAAAGCATATGATAAATTATGTTTAAATATCTGAAAATGTTAAAAGAAGACCACACCAAACAGTAATAATTGCTAATGTTTATTGTATACTTCTGGGGGTCAGACACCATTCTAACTGTTTCATCTTTTGCTCCTTTAATCCCTACGGCATCTCCATTTCACAAATGGATAAACTAAATGGAGAGGTCACACAGCCAATAAATGGCACGGTCAGTATTCAAACCCAGATGGTGGAACTGGGAATTTTTCAGGCACCAGAGTTTGTCAATTCCTTTSAAGGGCAAACAGAGAAAACCCAGCCCTTGGAATGCATAAGACGCCAAATGAACACTGAGATTTGGGTGTAGTTTCTGCTACCCAGGTGAATTCTTGTCCTCATCTGTCCTCTCTCTTGAGTCATGGGATGACTCAAGCATATGAGACGTGCCTACCCCTGTATTTCCAAAGAAAACTCCTAAACCCAATCCCCAATGCAGTGTGTTTCCCATAGACACATAGGTGACCTTCTACCTGCTGTCAGCATGACACCCTGTCCCCTGCTGCCTCCATGTCTGGTCTCCAGGGCCACTAGAGGCCCTGAAGCCCACTCTGCACCCTTATTCTTCACTCTTCCCTCTAAGAACTTACTCTTCCCTCTCAGACCCTTCCTAGGCTGGACCCTCTGCCTAGAACTAGCACTGAGGAACAGGTGACTGAGGAACAGGTGAACTCTGTTCATCTTCTGGCCTCTGCTCACATGCCTCCTCCTCCTGTGGGAAGCCTTCTAGCCTCTCCACAAAGATCTGCCCTGCTCCCCTGGGCTCCCAAGCACAGTGTGTCCCAATCTGCCTGGGCTACATTGTGGGATCGTCCACTCAATGAAGAGTGTCCCAAGTCAGAAACCGGGTTGTCCTGGTCCTTAGTGTGTCACTGCTGATGACTTGTTAAAGGAAGGTGTGACCAGATGAATTCTCTCTGGGTCAGGGCCAAAGGGCCTTCTGCTTGCACCCTGCCTGGCTTACTTTGGCTGGCACTGAGCCAGGGGAGGGATATGRAGGACAAAACTCCATCCCTGCCACTGAGGATTCTGGTGTGGGGCAGACCTAGACTGGGACAATTACTGACTGCAGAGGGAGACAAAAGCCTCAGGGTGGGAGTTGTTCAGGGGCATCAGACTCCTACCACCAGATACTCCCAGACTCCCAAGGCTGGGGGTACCTCAGCTAGGATTGGAGACCAGAGGCAGGAAGCCAACCACAGCTAAACTGCAAGGGCATGGAGCTCCCGCTGTCCCCTTTCCTGACTTTACAGATGTGTGGCTCCAGTCCTTCACACTATGCTGTGAGCCAGTTGCCCATTTCTCCTTGTCACAGTCTCTCTGCATTTGTGTCACTCTCTCTGCTCTCTCCTCTGTAAGTAGGCAAAGACAGAGGAGAAAGCATTTATCTCCTATAAATGGGAGATTCTAATTCAGGACATGAACTTTGTATATATCTAAACCACTGTAGTTTAAATCACTTGCTACCTTATGACTCTCTGTGCCTTAATTTCCTCATCAATAAAATGGGAATGGGAATGTTACCTAATTGTATAGGTTACCTATTGCTACATAACAAATGACCCTGAAACATAACRATTTAAAACCATAATAAACACATCCTCTCTCACAGTATTGGGGGGTCATAATTTGGGAGCAGCTTAGATGGGTGGTCCTCACTCTGTGTTCCTCGTGAGACTGCAGTCAAGATGTTGGCCAGGCTGCTGGCTGTTGGCAGGAGGACTCAGTTTTTTACCATAAGGCTCACTCTGCTTTAGTGTCCTCGGGACATGGCAGCTGGCTCCCTCAGGGCAATTGATCCAGAGAAAGGAAGAAGTCACACTCCATCATTTCTATAATATCCTCTTGGGCACACAGGTCAGCCCTATCTGAGTGGGAATGGGCCACAGGCTTGTGAGTCCCAGGAAGCAAAACTTTTTTGAGAACTGTCTTGCAGGCTGGCTGTAAGGATATGTAAGGATGAAAAGGCTAAAGTGTGTTAAGTTCTTAGAAGAGTTTCAGAACATAGCACAGACTGTAAGCATTTGCTCCTGTAATTGGCACAGCTGTTGTTTCTGTGACATAGTCAGCATGCTCTCCAGAAGGACTTCTACAATCCATCAGCCACAAGATTGCTACTAGCTGCCGAACCCTTCAT